ATTTTTTTTTTTTTTTTTTAACCCACTCGTGTGATTTCACACGAACAGAGAAGATATGCTCGTGTGAAATCACACTAGCAGAACGTCTCTGTTCGTGTGAAATGACACGAGCAATTAAAAAAAAAAACAAAAAATTAACAAGGCCTGCTCGCGTGAATTTACGCGAGCACTTACGCGAGCACTTGCCAAGTGCTCGCGTAAATTCACACGAGCAGGCCAAAGTCCGATTTTTTTCGTTTTTTTTTTCGGATTCGTAATCTACATAACAAGAGGATCGTAAAAACGTAAAAATTACCTCCGATCTGTTGATGATTTGCACGGGCTTTGCGAAAGAAAATCGAAAGGGTAGAGAGAGTTTTTGAGTTTTTTACCTTTTATTTTTTGAGAAATGGTAAAAAATGTGCATGAATGTTTAATTTGTGCCTGCACAAATCATTTCAGATTAAATAGTTGGCAAACTGGTGACTTGTCAACTAGTGGTGCTTCTTTGCTTTCCAACAATTTTCCGGTTTGTGTATATATATATTTGTTTAATTCTTCTTCAAAGCAAAGAAGGTCGTGTCACTCAACCAAGCCACACAACCGCCGCCGCCGCTGTTTCCGGCCAATCGCCACCATCTCCGGCCATGTGATTTCTGTGCACCTATAGTTCTTACAGCTTTCACCTTCATATAAAACCCTCAATATGACAACTTCACCATTTCATAAGAAGCCATTAGGACCAGAAACCCAAACAGAAACATCCAATCTTCTCCGTAAGCAACAGAAATCGTCACACGCTTTTAGTTAATATCAGACGGCGCCGTCAACTAAATCTGTTAATGAACTAGGGTTTCGTTTTTTCTCCCAACAGTTTATTCAATTTTGAATAATCTTTCTTTGGGTTTTAATTGATTTCAAAAAAAATAAAAAAATGGAGGAATACAATCATCAGATGAGCGAAAACACGAATTCCAGGAACACCGGTTCTTTTCTGTACGGCGGTCCGGTTCTTCCACCGAGCTCTTCCGTTTACGGCGGCGGAGCTAGCAGCGGATCGAGCAACCACCACCACCACCACCACCATCAACACAACCAGTTGCTGCCGGTGAGTACCTTCCATCTTCAATCCGGTGACTGTTATGATAATTCCGATCAGAATCAAAATCATCAGAATCAGAATCCGACGTCTGTGAAAACTGAAGCGGTTAGTTCACTGAATCAGGCTCCTTGGTTCCACAATCCTTCTGTAATTAGAGGGCACCACCATCAAACTGTTCAAGATCATCATCACAGTCAAAGTCAACACCGGCGACCGGAAACCGAACCCGCCGGCGAAGTTGATGCTATTAAAGCCAAGATCATCGCCCACCCTCAGTATTCCAATCTTCTCGAAGCTTACATGGATTGTCAAAAGGTATTTGTACATACATGATACATACATACATACAAAAGTATTTCATTCTCTGTGATGATATATATGTACATGTAAAGGTGGGAGCTCCGCCGGAGGTGGTGGCACGGCTGGCGGCGGTGCGGCAAGAGTTTGAAGCGAGGCACCGCGCCGGTGGGAGAGATGATTCCAAGGATCCAGAACTAGACCAGTTCATGGTACGGCATTTCTAATTAATTTTAATCTTAATTCTGTCAGACACGATTCTTAAATTCGTTTTCTTTTATGTATATCATTAATTATTTTTAATTTATTTAACGAATTAAAAAAAATGTTGGATCTAAATTCCACCGATTATACTTGCAGGAAGCGTACTATGATATGCTGGTGAAATACCGAGAAGAGTTAACGAGGCCATTACAAGAAGCCATGGATTTCATGCGACGCATCGAAACACAGCTCAACATGCTAACTAATGGTCCTGTCCGGATCTTCCACAACTCCGGTACTTTCTTTCTCTCTCCTTAATACAACATCTCACATCTTTTTCTAGAGAGAGAGAGAGTGAAGAGAGAGTGATGTTTCATGGACATATTGCCTATGAAGGAAAGAACAAGCAGAATAACAAATTTGACCTAATAATGTTTGTCCCCAGTCATCATTTTTTCTTGTGCAGTGCAATACTGATAGTTAACACTGTCCACCCTCCAAATTGGGGGGTGGGTTTGGGGGTGGGGGTGGGGTGGTTCTTCTTCATTCATTCATTCATTCAATAGTAGTGCTATTTCCAAGTACTGAAACACGCAATTTTTGACTAGTGCCAGACTGCCACCATCATTTTCCAAGGCCTTTGTCACGACTACCCAAATAAAAAAAAGATAAAAACCCTAATCACGAGTGTATAGTATACTAGATTTTATTTTCTTCCATTTTTATCAATATAATATCAATATATACATAGAGTACAGAATCTAATCTTGTCTTGAACAATCATGAAATCACTGTTTTTTTTTTCACTTTAATTTATTTCATGGTCTCCTCCCACTCTTCTTGCTGACATGGTTATCATAATATTTTTAAATTTTTTTTTTTTATCTTGATGTTCATATGCCCCCCCCCCCCCCCCCCCCCCCTTTTTCTAGGGTTTGGGGGTTGAAATATATGACCACGGGTTTTTTTTCCCCCCGGGGGAAATATGTTTGGACCGGATATAAAAACCTACCGGTTGGCTTTTAACTTTTTTGGCGTTGAAAAAAAAAAAA